AAGTTTCTAGAAAAATAAACACAAACGAACAATGGAAAATGTATTCATTCTTTAAATTTCATGCCTGCGATTCTAGCTAATTCACCAAAAAACTAACATCCACACAATTTGGATGAAATTTTATTGCATAATAATATCAACATTCAAATACACACGGAGTAAACGTGTCAATTAGCAACCATGATGAAGCTAAATGGTGGATAGTTATGCAGAAGCGGCGCTAACTTTAGACATGGGTGACACTAAAATATGATGAAAATGTACTTTTCCTTCAAATATGCAAAAAACCAAATGTTTTTTAGAATGTTTAAATATTAGTTGGTAACATTGCGATATAAATCAGACATAAAATTCACATCAATTGGTAATGCCATTACCACAAATATAAAAACTACCTAACAAGTTCCCCCACGATGTCAGAACATGAAAAACCTTGTTGCATATGTCACACATTCAAAAATTTTGAGAAATCGCTTAGCTCACACCTTAAATCTCATAATTATGCGGCTGACTCTTTTTTTTTTTTTTTTGCCTTTTTAGAAAAGGGTTGTTAATTTTTTCCCTAAAACTGAAAAGTATGCCAGTAATATTGCATGTCCATGGTTATATTATAAAATTGCATGTGAAGTGGTAGTTATTTACATCCACCATTCTAAATTAGGTGTCATTGAATACTTTACACACATTTTGATAATGTCTTAATTATGCTGTTAAAATTAATAAATGAATGACATTTAACACCAGAGTTTTGGCGGAATCTACCATAAAACCTCTGAGTTTCAGTAATACTACTATATACCCCCTTGACTTCTAGTCAACCTACCAAATGTCCCATTAACACAGAAATAATATCATCAATTTTAAGTAAACGATTAAAAATACCCTTTAATCCATATTTTTTATTATACAATTTAATTTTTTTAAAAAGAGATATATCATATATTAAATTAAAAAAACATTTCATATTAATGCGTTTATATTAATACATTTAAATAATAAAATCTTGGCTTTAACTATAGAGTAATCTGCTCAAATGGTTCTTTAGATTTGTAAGAAAAATTCATTTGGTCCATAACATTAACAATTCACTGTTTTGGTCCATTACATTTGTAATTTGAACTAATTTGGTCATTTTCACTTATTTTGGCACTTTACATTTGGTGATTCTTAGGTTGACTAATAAAGAGTTAAGTCAACAGAGATATTTTTAGAACTTCATAATTTTTAATTTTTTAAAATATAAAAATATGAAATTGATTAATAATATTAAAAATAGTATAATGATTAATAATTAATTAAAAATATTGAAAAACAAAAAATATTTTAAAAATAAAAATAATTAATTTGTTTGTCCTATTTTTTTACATGTAGGTCTCACCTAATCCTACCACCTTCCACATATTTTTTCACTTTTATCCCTCGATCTAGAAGACGAGAGTGCTTCAAGCAGTTTTTTATTTATTTTTTTTTTGCCAAAAGAGAGAACAGTATGCAATCAGGCATAGAATTAATGTTAGTCCTACCGCTCTATTGGAATAATCATCCAAAGAGTTACGTTTTTTCATCCCTTTTTCTTTTTAAATTCTACAACTCCGATAGCTCCTTTCCGGCATTCAGACTGGGTATCTCTGGTTTTATTGCACACTCAGAAAACAATGACTTGCCATAAAGATAAGAGTTTTCGACGAACAAAGAAGGCAGAATAATTTAATAAATACAAAATCAAAATAAGATTAGAATTTTGCAGTGTTAAGAATCATCCTTTTATCGGGCTCCAAGAATTGATAACTCAGCTTCGCTTCAATGAATTCAAATCTTTTTTCCGGAATAGAGCAAGTCATAGCCACCACCAAGCCATTAACCCCTACCAGAATGAAATGATGATTGATGGAGATCCAAAAAAAAAAAAGAACCCAAAAGGTAGAAGAAAAAAATCTCACCATTTTAGGGCTATAAATCTACCGTTGCCTTTTCTTCTTTTTTGTTCTTTTTCTCTTTTGGGATCTATAATCGACACATGGTAGTTTGAAGTATAATCAAAATAGAGAATCCATCTTCCACCACCCGATGCAAATTGCCATGGTCATGGCCAATACTTTCTCCCTCCACACTGCTGCTTATTCGACTATATATGCGTGGGAGAGGTAAAAAATGCTATTAGAGCCGTTAGCCTGGTGGTTGTGAAATTGGGGTTGATCGGAGATGGTGATGCGGTTGTTTTGGAGGCTGAGGTGACAGAGATGATTTAATCGGGGTAAAATCTGGGTCAATCCGGATAAGTTCAAGTTGTCGATGGTGATCTGGGCAGAATTTGTTCTTTTTTGGGGGGTTCAAATTGGTAGTTGAAGATGGATTTTGACCGTGGATGGTATAAAAGTGAAAGAATGAGGGGATAAGGTAAGGTTAGGGTGGGGCTCACGGGTAAAAGAATGACATCAGATTAAAAAATTTAATTTATCTTAATTTTTAAATATTTTTGTGTTTGATATTTTAATTAATTATGAATCATTATACTGTTTTAAATATTATTAATCAATTTCGTATTTTATATTTAAAAAGTTAAAAATTATGTAGTACCAAAAATACCCCTATTGACTTAACCCTTTATTGGTCAACCTAAGAATCACCAAATGTAAAGTGCCAAAATAAGTGAAAAGGACCAAATTAGTTCAAAATACAAATGTAATGGACCAAACCAGTGAATTGTTAATGCTATGGACCAAATTAATTTTTCTTACAAATGTAAAGGACTATTTGAGCAGATTACTCTTAACTATATCATATCCTTTGAAATAAAAATGATTTTCACTAATTAATTTCTTTTATTTTGAAGCATAATAAGCTTATATTAGTAATAACTCGTGCTCACACTGCCCCTATAGTTGAAGAGATGTGTTATACTGGTATTTTCAAGTATAAGCAAGCTATCAATTTCCTCCATAGGAAGAGCAACAAAGATAAGCAGTATGAGAATGTCTCATTCTTGATCGCTGCGTTTACATCCAGTGGAGTTCCCATATTGTACTCTATGGATGAGGTTGGACCTGCTTACCAGAGCCGCAACAGATCTATTTGTTCAATTGGGCATGGAGGGAGAGCTACTGCTATTACTGCGGTTTCTGGCTGGACATTTCCCATGACAACGGAATCAACTTCTCACTGTGTTATGCGCGCCCTTTGTATTTGAAGCATTGGTGACAATTCCGTAGGTGGCCAGGTTTGTGCCTTGCATTTTGGGCACAACCAATCTCTTGTTTCATCTGTTTGATGATGATTCAGACCTTTCTTAGGATTCATCGACTTTCTGGAAACATGGCCTATCCATATTTGGATTATGGCGAGGAATCCGAGGATCCTCCTTGATCATTTTGATGGAAATGTGAATTGTTACTTTGCATGTATTTCTTTGAACTGATGTCTTTAGCTTTGAAAAAGTGTTGTGGTATGTTATGTTTATATCTACATGTTGAAGACTCAAGTAAGTGCGCATTTTTTGTTATGGAATTCAGTATTAGGATACTCATTTTGGCTACTTAAACTCCATTCAGAAACTCATCAGTTTTGCATTTTGTAGACTGCCAGTGATATGTTTGTACCAACCAACATGTTAACCACTATATTCCGAACTGCATGCATGAATGTACGCAAAGAGGAAATTTATTCGATAATTGTTGGAGTCTATAATAGACTACAGAGTTGAGCTTTTGAAAAAAAAAAGTTTATATTATTAATAATGGATTAACTTTTATTTATTAACTTCTTATAATTAAATTTGAAAATGACGAGCTAAGGAATTTTTAGTTTTGATGATCAAAAAATGAAAAAAAAAAAACAAATTTAAAAAAATGAAAAAAAAATCACGTGTATGTAAACCGTGGTTATTTTTATCATTTCAATGTTTAACCCGTACTCATGAAATATATGGTAGCATCACCAAAACTCCCTCCCCCCTCCAGGGAGGGGGGGGTGTAGATCGGAACAAACCCTAGGGTCCCTTAATAAATTATACTTAATCTTAAATATTTATTCCAAATTTCAACATTGATTATTATTCATCGGTACTACAACTTCTCATTTAATCCCAAAACCAAGTTGTTGATTCATATTAATTCCCTTCAATTAGATTCGTTGGCTCCATAAATTGTTGGGGAAAAAATTCTTATTGTTTTGACATACAAATTGATGATGCTAAGTTGATTTGCACCAAATCATGGATACAAAGATTCTAAACAAAATTTTTAGTTCTTATAAAGAGTCAGAATTATTGCAAAACTTGGAAAAGGGTGAGGGATTGGAAACTCAACAAGAAAATATTTAAATTGAAAATTCAGAATTAATGTTTTTTATCTCAATGCTGGTCTATAATTCTTTCATATTTGAGAGTTTAATCTCAAAATTTGATTTTGAAACTTTTTTTTTATTTTTAAGAGAACCAGGGGGGTTCCTGGCGGGCATCCCCCCGATTTGATGTTGAAGCTATATGTGAAGCTGTATCGGAAAGACAATAATATGCATGTCCCAAGTTTAAACTTGGAGTCAATGTGAACAAGAAGATGGTGATGCTAACTTTGAAGAAGAATAGCCATATGATGGTGATGCTAACTTTGAAGAAAAATAGCCATATGATGAAACAACTACATGTATTGCATATTATAGTTGGGCTAATATTTACGGTGGATTTCTTTGCTTTTAATTGAATGTGATACTTAAATTGTGATATTACTTGATTATTTACAAATTCATATTCTTTGATGATTTGCAATCATCATGTTAGGCTTTACTCTTTTTTTTTTATTCATGTCCAGTACTAAGGCCTTGTTAAGTGCTTTTACTTCATTTTCTATGAATTAAAAATTTGTGCTTTAGTTTTAGGGGGAAAAAAATAAACATGGTTAATGTATTACTCAATTTGCATGGTTACATTAATTTAACTTTTGCATATAAAATAAGTAGTATTTCTTCCTCAAGATCCTGAGCCCGACTAAAGAAGCTTTGACGAAATGTCTCCTAAGTCTTCTGAAGATGTGGATGTCGATGTCTTATACGCCAGTCACATGGGTACTATCTCTCTTGACGATATTCTAAAGCAAGAGGGCATTATGGCTAAGTTGGGGCTTCTTTTTAGAGATGTGAAGGAAGAGTTGGGTAATTCGCGATTGAAGTATGAGCAAGCTCGCAACGAGATCACTTATCTCAAATCCGAGTTGCATAGATCGGCAGCGAAGGAAAATGATGCCTAGATCAAACTGGAGGATCTGAGGAAGAAGAGCCAAGATGCCCTCAGCCTTGTTGGGCTTCATCATCAGGCGGTCTCATCCAAGATCGTTTATGCTCTCGAGGTTGCAAAAATTGTTGGTGATTCACCACCAAGATCTTCTGCTAGTAGGACTGATAAGAAGGATAATTCAGCCAATATATTTGGTGTTTCGAGTGGAAGAAAAGGAAAGGGTATTAAGGGCAAGGCTCTAACTGAAGTAGAAGAAGATGGAAATGACTCCATTCCTCCTATAATGGAGGATAACACGGACAAAATTACTGGTGCTTCGAGTGATAGAAAGGGAAAGGGTAGTAGGGTGGGGACGAGGATGGGGTGAAGTGTTAAAGGTGGGTGATAACCGTCCCCCCACGCCAGAGGGAGAAGGAAGATTGTTCGTTGCCGGTTCGACTAAGTTATTTTCTTTGTCTACTTCATGTTTTCTTTTTAAAAAGTAGACTCAGATTTATTAATTTCAAGTGTGTTGTGTATCTTTCAACCAAAAAAAAAAACGGAAGTATTTATTTCCTTCATTAAAATTAATAAGTTATCAATAATGTTCAAGAATACAATGTTTTATTACATGCATATTACATGCACGAGAGAGGTAAACCATGTCATAAATGTTTCAGATCTTTTTTCAACATTTACCGAATCATGTTTTATCAAAAAAATAAAAAATAAAAATTACCGAATCATGTAATCTTATAATAATATAACTTAAGATTACAATATTTTACATAACATCATGTTGTATCACAGCATTAGCAGTATGCATTAAATATATCAACCTTTTCAAACTTACAATACATGAAATTTTGTTTCATCCAAAAGATTATCTTCAAAAACTTGTATAAATCATTGAAAACACGCATGATATGGGTCAACACTGGCCATCACCCATCGTCATATTATCAATATGATGTATTTATCTGGGTGTTCCCAAACTTGCAATTTCCCGTAACCCCTAAAAGTGTGGCAAAGCTTCAGTTTCAAGCTCAAGCTTACAAAAGAAATATTTTACACCGATAAACTCACCCTTTTCTGATATGAGATGTAACAAACTCACCATAGTAGAGATATTACTTTTCTTTTTGGATATAAAAAAAAATGTGACCTAAATTTAGGCAAGAACTCTCTAATTCTTCAGTGTCTCGCACACTAGCTTTCCTTTTCTAAATTTGTCAGTGCAACTTCTTCATAAATTCTGCAACACTTCATCGTTGTTTGCATAAGTGGCATGCACACTTCACCTCTCCATCAGTGCACTTTTGACACACATAATTAAAAAATCTGATCATCTTGCTTAAGTTATTGGTAAAAGTGATTATTTCATGGTAGCCTCACTTCAAGTTCACCTAAGTACTGGGGCCAGTCAGATCGTTTTTTGTGTTTTTCTGTTAAAAAATATGATTTTCTTTTTTCCTTGCTGATATAGACTAATATTGCTTCCACAACGAAGACCCATGTTTATGTTGATTTAAATTTTATTTGTTGATTGGAAAGTTTTTAACTATTTTATATTTACATAACAAAAGGATGGGCTTGTTCATAAACAGCGTATGGTTTTTCATCGTACTATCCGTGGTATGTTGGTACCGTGTTGCATTTTCACTTGTAACTTCAATGTTTTACACTATGGTTTAAGCACACTTAGTATTCATAGGTTTACCCACGAAATTTATGGTTTTAATGGTTAATCTTGATCGATTTAAAATTCTTTGGCAAATTTATATAAATTTACTCATAGCACGACATTAGGTAGATTACTAGAGATGAAGTTGTGATTGTCTTTTAAAAATCCAAATGAAATATGTAGTCCGATTAACGGAAGTGAGCTAAGGTTTGAGCTGATATTGAAAATATTTTCTTCAAAGGTAGAAGTTGACAGATGAAATTTAGGAATTAGTACCCTACTTATATATATCATTGTATGGGTTATATGCATTTTAAAAAAAAAACACATACTTGAAGTTCTTGAAAGTTTTGAAAACAGTTGGCTGCATGTTTCAAATCTTATTTTATTTATCTGTCCCATAATTCTTTAAAATTAATTTTTCCTTGTTTTGAATGAAATTTATTCTAGGGGATTTTGTTTCAGTTAGTTTGTTCACATAAAAATCTTGGTGTTGAATTATTTGGGGTTCACATTTGGTATCATGGTCGGGTTTATATCCAGCAATTATAGTAGATCATAATATTAGGTGTTCGGTTCCTAAATTAGTTGGGAGAAAAATTATAACTTTTGGTGTATTTCAAGGAAAATAAATCTTAATGCGTTTGGGTTGTCGAAACACATTGAACAAGTATTGGCTGTGAATGTTGATGAGGCGTTAAAGAAAGGTGTCTCAAGTTCATCAGGTTATCGATATAACTATTTCTAAGAGAAATTCTATGGCTAAGACAACAAAGGTGACGTGGGATATCTTGGCCAAATCATGTTGTGGTGTTCAAACGGTTCAAAAAGATAAACTTGATTATGTTGAAAAAAAAATTGAGCTTTGCAAGATAGATAATACAACAACTATTGAGGACTATTTTTCTTGTTTGATTGAGATAAAAAATGAGATGGAGCATATTGGGGATATTCTTGAATATGAAACTTGTGTTGAAAAAGTTATTATTACGTTGCCTTTAACATTTGACTATGTCGTAGCTATGAGTTAAGAAACAAAAGACTTACTAGAAATGACTTTTGAAAAATTGCATGGTTCGTTGATTCTACATGAAAATATTATTAATGAAAAATTTGATGAACTTGTTGAAAAGGCATTGCAAATTCATTCTCATAGTCAGCTGCAACCCCAAATTTCATTGCAAACTTATCAGACTCATTATGATCAAAATAAGAAACATGCTCATGCGCATCATATTTAAACGTGTGGGCAAAAGTAAAGAGGAAATGAATATGGAGGTGAAGGTAATCGTCGAGGTAGTGGTTCGGGTAATAGTTTTCTTTAAGATAGTATAAAATGTCAAGTGTTGTTATAATTGTGGAGAACGAGTCATCATTTTATAAAAATTATTGAAACAATTATGGTGATGATAATGATGGGCATGCATGTTAAGTTGTTAATATTACTAATGGGGATAACAATACAATCTCATTTTCTACTCATGTTGCTGGAGAAAGTAAAAACTTATATTAGCAAATTGGTTCTGGCTATAATAATCATATGAGTGGATAAGGAGATTATTTCATAGTTAGACGACTCTTTTAAGACCAGATTTGGTAGTAATTAGATTTTACCTATTGTGGGCAAGGGTTGTATTCCTATCATTTAAAAAGGGAGAGCTTAGTTATCTTGGTAATGTCATTTATGTCTCTAATATGTCTCATAATTTCTTAATTCTTGGTCAACTACAAGAGAAAGAACATGATCTGAACTTTAAACATTCATGGATTGTTTCCAATCACTTTATTATGAGGTTTAGGCATTTCCATTTTAGCGGTTTCCAATTCAGTGCTAGCAATAATGTGGTTTTTGGATTACCACCGGAAAGTTTTTCTACGTGACAATGTGAATTTTGTATTCTGGAAAGAAGCATAGGGTCCTTTTCCAAAAGTAAAAATTCGGAGATTATTACAGCCGTTGGAACTCATACACTCAGAATTATGTTCAGTTGAGGTATCTTTTCATGGGGATAATAAATGTTTTATTATTTTCATTGATAACTTAGCAAGAAGACATGGATTTATTTTTAAAAGCATAAATTTGATTTTGTGATATTTTCAAGAATTTTAAATTTGTATTGAGAAACATAGTTGTTATTTTTGTTAAAACATGAAGGACGAGTAAAGGCACTGGATATACAGATCATGAGGACAACAAGTAGTACTCCTCAGCAAAATGGTGTTGTTGAAAGGAAGAATGGAACTCTCATGGATATGTTGAGATCCATGACGAAAGCAAAAAGATATGTCTATATAATTTTGGGCTGAAGTAGTTACATGTGCAGTTTATAAGCACCTGTTCATCAAACGAAATTATACTCAAATGCTTGATGTTATTAAGAAGAAATTGTATAAGTTGAAAAGTGTATTTTCCTAGAATATTGCAGTGGGGATAAAGGTTATAAGTTATATAATCTGGAAACTAGGGTTATTAGCGTAGATGTTACTTTTGATGCATGCAACTTGGAACTGGTCAAAAGAGAAGGAATCCAAAGTCCACAACCACACCACCTTATATAGTGAAAAAGATGTGCGTAAACAAGACCAAGAAACTAATCAACAGTCTTATACGAATCATCCATTGTCTGGAGTACGCCCGCAGAGGCAAACACTATTACCAACTCGATTACAAGACTGTTGTAGGGAAAATGCAACTTGATTTGACTTCTCGTAACTTGTAAAAAATACTAAAATACCCTTGATCCTTAAACCTTCCAACCTTTCATTCTTTTATACGATTGTCTCTCTTTTTATCATTTATACAAATTCTTTTAAACATAAAGTCAAAATATTTATTGATAGTTTGCAATGTCAGAATACCTAAGAACACGAAAAATAGGGAAAAAAATGTGGCATCGGCATCCCAACAAGTAACTATTTGGGAATTGTTTGCAACGAGCCACACTTGTTTATCGATCTTCTCCTTTAGCTCTGCCTTTCATTTCTTTCTAAAGCAAAGCAAGTTCAAGAGGGAAATAAATTAATATCTAAAGAAAAAACAAGTTCAAGAGGGAAATAAATTAATATCTAAGCAAGTTTATCGATCTTCTCCTTTAGCTCTGCCTTTAAAATATCTTTCGTTTCTTTTGGAACTGGTATAATTTTGATTTAGTTTCTTATGTTAAATCTAATTACACTTAATGTTCAGTTTTATGTTAGTATTTAAGTATCTACGAAGAGGGTATTTTCGTATTTTTTACAAGCTACGCGAATTAAAATCAAGTTGCGGTTAGCAATACCCTTTTACTAATTAAAGATATGGTTAATTTTACCTTTATGCAGACAGTGATCCGGTTGATCTTACGGAAGTTCCCAATGATGACAATTGGGTAAGTGCAATGGATGAAGAAATATGTGTAATAGAGAATAATAATACTTGGGAACTTGTTGATCTTTTAAGTGTAAAGAAACCAATTGGTGTGAAGCGGGTATATAAGGCAAAGATATGGCTACCGAAGAGGTTGGTACATACAAACGAGATCGGTGGTGAGCAGACATAAGTAAAATCCTGAAATTGATTACTTTGAACTATTTGCACTAATTGTAGAACTTTATATAATTCATTTGATATTTCCTTAGCTGCTCAAAATAATTATAAAATTGATCAAATAGATATTACATATACATTTTTAAAGGGTGTGCTTGAAGACAAAATTCTTTTGGACGAGAAGGGGCATGAGAACTTTGTTTAAACTACAAATAACTTTGTATAATTTGAAACAAGCTCCAAGGGTGTGGATACACGCAATGACAACTTTTTTGGTTGATAGTGATTTTAAAATGTGTCAATATGAGCATACTTTTCATTTCAAATCCTTCGTAGCCAGTGACATTAGAATTGTGTGCTTTTATGTTTTCAAAGGTAATGATGAAAGGATTATGACAAATTCTAGGAATACTATGATTAGAAAGTTTAAAATGACAGTTTCGGTTCTCGTGTCTTATTTTTTTGGTATTGAGATTTTACAATCTTATCGTGGTATCTTTGTTTCCCAAAGAAAATATGCCAGTGATATTTTGAAGAAATTTAAGATGGATGCACCCAAGACCATTTTGACTGCAGCATAAGAAAGATTAAAGTTGAAGAAAGATATGAAAGTTTCGTGGATCCAACCTGCTACTTTAAGAGTTTGTTTAAAAATTTAAGAGTGGGTATTTAATTACAGTATTTTTTTGATTAATGGATTTATATATGAAGAATTCTATTCAATGTCATTTACAAACAACAAAGAGAATATTGAGATATATTAAAGCAGGGAGATGGTATCTTGTATTCAAAAGGTAAATCAGCTGAGTTAAGTGATTATGTTGGTGATGTAGTCGAGAAAAAGAGTACTTCTGGCTATGCATTTTTGAATTATTTCGGTTTTTTTCGTGGAGTTCGAAAATGCAGTCAACGATAATGTCAACCACAGAGGCAGAATATGTTACAGTAACTAATAGTGTCATTCAAGCAATTTGGTTGAGATGAGTGTTTGGGTTTATACAGCACAAACAAGAGGGTCGGACTACAATATTATGTGATAATAAGTCAAATAATGATTTGAGCAAGAATCTAGTATATCATGGTTGTACAAAGCATATCGACATCAAACTTCACTTGTTTCGTGATTCGGTGCATGCCAAGGAGATTGCTTTTGATTATTGCAAGATTGAAGTGCAAGTGGCAGACATTTTTACAAAGGCATTAAAGCTGGAGACGTGTGGAATTGAAAAATATGCTTGACATGTGAATGGTTTAAGAAAGACAACATTTAAATTAAACTGAATTTATTTCCAATTAGGATTGTATGGGGTTTCCTTGTAATTTTCTATATTTGTTTTTCGAGTTTACGAAAAAAGTAAGTCATTATACCTATATATAGAAAAGTCCTCAATGGACGTTTTCGACATTTGAAGTATCAAATAAAGGACTAGGTTTAACTCAACAAACCAACATATCACTCTAAAAACACTACAAAAGGAACATGCCAGTATCCACGAAAAATTGGCAGTCGTGGGTAACTCGCAGGTAATTTTTTGCGGGTAACTCGTGGGTACTTACCCACGAAATACTCACGCATTGCCCGTGAAAGTTTGACCAAAAGTGTTTCCCACGGGTTTTTCACGAATTTTCCATAAGATTTCAAACAAAACAAGATGTGATGGGTATTCCATGGGTAAAAAATTTCCCGCCATTAAATTCGCCACGAGTTTCCCACAACACTACTTGTGGGAAATCACACACGAGCTATGATCCGTGAAAAACTCGTGGGCAAATCAAATCACCCACGGATTACCCAAGGATTATTTTTGTGGGTACTATTTTCGCATGCAACCAGTGGGTTAAAGTTTCCGGCCGACAAATTCTCCATGACTTTTCTCACAAAAATAGATGTGGATAATTACACACGGAAATGTCTCTATGGGAAACTCGTGGAAAATAATATCGCCCACGTATTAACCACGGATTTTTTTGGTGGGTAAAATTTCCAGATTTAAAGCTTTGGTAAAAGTTTCTCACCAATAAGTTCCCAACGAAATGCCCTCAAAGGAGTTTGTGGGAAATTACACACGACATCCTTTCCATGGGAAACTCATGGCAAATGGTTATCACCCACGTGTTACCCACAGTGCATTCTTGTGGGAAAAATTTCTAATGTAAACCGTGTGTAAAAGTTAAATTTCCCACGAGTTTCTATTGTGGGTGAGCCGTGGGTAAGTATATTTACCAAAATTTACCTATGACCATTTTTGTGGGGTAAGTATATTTACGCACGGTTTACCCACGACCTTTTTTGTTGGTAACTCGTTCGTGGGTATTTCATGGGAAATGCGTGGGTAAATTTAGCCACCCATGACTTTTGTTGTGGGTAATGCGTGGGTAAAATAAATGTACAATTCTAGAGGTTTATTCATAAATAATTTGTATTTATGCATTTTGACATAATTATTGGTTAAATTAATATATATAATAAGTAAGAATGTGATATCCATGTATTCGTGGTATATTTATGTATTTTAATCAAATAATGCACTTGATAGTAAAGTGTATCTAAATGAGTTATATATATATAGATATATAAATATTAACAAATAATTAGTAATGTAGAATTGGAATAGTTATTAATTATTTATTAATTTGAGTACATATCTTATTCACTTTGTACATATATAGATAGTTGTCCAAATTATATGTATGGTAATACATATTATATCGTGCATGACAATATCAATGATTTAGCATAAATGGAATTATTATTAATTATATATTAGTTTGAGTACATTTGTTATTTACTTTGTACGTACATCACATTGTATGGTGTTAAATCATGACAATAACCATAAAATCTATTTACTTTTAAGTAATCAATAAGTATATATGTCAACATGATTAAAATGTCAGAATTTAATTAAAGAGGACAATTATACTTCATTTCAAAAAGACAACTGATCGATGATCAATATGATCATGACCATTACAGTGTTTCTAATCCCCCAAAAGGGTTTGTTGCTGTCTATGTGATGTATTTCCAGTTTGGTTTTCGTTTTCCTGTGTCATCTTTGCTGTTGGAGGTATTAAATAATTATAAAATTACGTTAGCACAACTTAGCCCCAGGGCAGTTGCGTTTGTAATTAGCTTTGCTGATTTGTGTATCAGTAGAAATGTCCTTCCTTCCCTGAAATTGTTTAAAAGTTTTTTTCAGCTTAGAGCTTCTCCTGGCGTTGTTGGCTGGTTTACCTTTTATCCTAAAATATATTTTGGCAAACGTAGATTACCAAAATTATTTGAGAAAACCTTGTATGCTAGTAGAGATTGGAAAGGTAAAATTTTAATTTGTCGAGCCGAACCAGTGGGATTGCCTTTGGAGTGGCGTTATGGGAAAGTAGATGATATTGACAAGGATCTCACTCCGGATGCAACTCTTTCCGCTGATGTTTTTAAGCTTCGCAGTTGTACTATGGAAATTTGTGATCTATCAAAAGAACCGCTGACTTTAAACCCCATTTGTTCTGCTTCTTCAGGTAATAGGGACTGATTATCTATTCCTCTTCTTTTTTCCCCTCTTTACATATATATAAAGCTTTGTTTCATTTGCTGTGTGTTTATTATGTATAATTTTAGCTAAAGGTGTAGATATCACTGACTTTTTGGACGATAATGATGTTGTACCATCTCCTCACTCTTTTAATGAGACTAGACTCCCCCTTTCAAAAGTCTCTACTCTGAAGCTGTGAAGAAGAAACATAATGCGAAAACTAAGAGATGCGCAGAACGTGATGCTGGAGGGAAACAGAAAAAAGCCAAATCCTTAACCAAAGATGTAGCCTCTGTGGTAGAGATAAACACATCAGAGAATAAGTATGATTTCACCATCTCTGCTGATCCATTGATTGCTCTGGGTGTTGATGATGAAGCTTTTAACAGATTATCTTTCAAGGATTTGATCATTCAAACCAATTCAAAGCTATCAGAGGTTAGAGTTTTCTGTTACCATAATTACTTACTCTCTTTTTTCATCTCCCCCTTTTATTTTATTTTATTTTATTATTGTTTATTTTTCGTGTCAGTTTGCTTGCTTTTATGGTACCCTGGAGACTCAATTTTCCAAATGTGCTGAATTTTTGGAGGATGTAGAATTTAAGCTTAATGAAGAAAAAATCCGCAGTAGGAATATTGAGATGGCTATGCAGAAAGGATGAATGCTCCCGTTTGAAATCTGAGCGTCGTACTTACCTGAAAACTGTTTTGAAGAAACTTCTTCGAAGTAGAGGGTTTGTTAATTTTTGGTGAGGTGACAAAGCCTGCCGTTGCTTTAGGTAGGCATCAAGCTATGGTAAAGCTTTATGCTCTCTGTCCTAACATTCCTCATTGTTTCCTTCGTGGTCTTGATGCCTCTACTAAAGCTTTTATGAGTCGGTCTTTTATTGATGTTGTTCGTCGGCAAGAATCTTTTCCATTGATTGATCACTTGGTCAACTGTGCTGAACCTCTGTCACTACCTGAATTAGAACAACTTGATCTGGATCATAATCATTCAATGGACGAAGAGCCAGAGGCTCCAACTCGTGATGGAAAATCTGTTCCTTTTAATTGGTCTGATGAACAATGTAGAAGTGTTTGGGCTGCCAAAGGAACTGGGACTGGGGTTATCACCTTTGATCTTGGTGGACCATCTCAGCCGAATCAGAAAGCTTTGTCAAAGGCTTCTGAAATTTCGTCATCGCTATCAAAGGTTATTGCCCCAAAGGTTATTGCAGAACTCAGCCAAGTTTCCACTCCAGTGGAGGTGTCTTTTGTCACTTCAGAGCCCGAAGTGATTTCTACTACCAAAGACCGTGATATGGCAAATCGTAATCAGGCTAGTACTTAGGCTCTTTTTTTTGTGTTATATTTTTGTGGTTGGTGCAGTCCTTGTAAGTTATCTTAAATTACAAACGATTGTGTAACTTAACTTTTGAAAGACCAAATTATTTTGTCTTGAATGCTATATTGAAGCTTTGTACCGTAATGTTTTCCATCATATTGAATTTTGTTATTTATTATCATTGTCATTTTTTTTTTTGAGCAGTGGGCTATAGTTCTGCATTCCATAGAATCTGATGCGATTGCTGATTGTCGCGACTTACCAGTGGTTTTAGCGCTTCGCAAGTATGCTGCTGAAGTGCAACAACTCTCATCAAAGCTATCACGATCCCGATCTCTCTATCTCCACTGGCGTAGCTTAGCCGAAACGAGTAGCCAAGATGTACTAGAGTGGAAACAACATTTCAATACCACAGGCGCTCGATTGCACGCAGTTGAAAAGTTTTATGGTGAACGTGAGAGGTCTTTTCGCAGGCAGATTTTTGAAGGCTCCAATGAAATTAAGCATTTGAAGTCAACCCTTAATGGCCTTCAAAGGGAAATGGATAATCGCCGCCAAAATGAGAGAGATTCAATTGAAGCAGCAAAATGGTATGAACGCAAAATACGGGAGCAAAGTGATAAGATCTATTTCTTCCAACTTGAAATAAAGGGACTTTTACCCTTGACTCATGATTATGAAGCTCAACTTGGGCTTTCAGTGCAACTCCGCCTTAGGGAACAATTGTATCTCACAATCCAACAACTGGAAGACCAAGGTGCAACCAAAACTAACGCCTGTGGACGTACCTGGCAGCGGCTTTTGAGAGTTATAAGCCGAGAAGAAGAATCCAGACAGGTTGAGTACTGAGGCTTTTATGTGCTTCTGCAAGTCTTGCTTTTACATAAGGTCGAATAAAGGGCTAAGGCCAAAGCGTTTTTTTTTTCCTTAATAAGGCTATTTTCAAGCCCTGGACTAGGACATTAGATTTGTCTTTATTATTTCTGCTTTGCACTGATGCGTTCAAGGCTTAAAAGTTATGGCCTTGATTTTTTATGCATTTTTCAGCCTTGTACAAGGCTTAGACATTATGGTCTTGTTTTTATGCATTTTTAGTTTGTTCTGAATAAAACCTTTCAAGACTTAAAATTTATAGTCTTGGTTTTATGTTATTTTCAGCTTGTGCCGAAGTAGTTTTCAACCTCGTGCTGATTTGAATAAAACATGTTCAAGGCTTAAAACTCATAGCCTTAGTTTTATGTATTTTTCAGCCTTGTGGCGATTTAAATGAAACTCATTCAAGGCTTAAAATTTTGTAGCCTCGGTTTTATGTTTGCGCAGGGTGCTTTCTGTCTATTATGCGGCTAAAAGATCAAGTCTTTTGCAAAATCAGAGTGTCGACTCCGATTTATAAATTGCATACGGGTGATCAGGCCGATGCTTTGGATTGACTGTTTTAGTCAGATTGAATATAATTGCAATATTCTAACAGCAACGTGATAGGTCGGTTCCCGTAGGACCATTTTATTCATCTCGATGAGGATTAAAACATCTCACCGGTTTATTTCCAGCAAATAACATTTGATTCCAAAAAACTAGAATGAAAATGAACCCAAATAGGGGGAAAGAAAGAAAATAAAAAACACACAAAAACAAAAATGCTTGTGGCGAGTTTACATATAAAAGCGCTTCAAGTTGGTCACGTTCTAGAAGCGTGGAATTGGACGTCCTTGTGGTGTAGCGAGATGACAACTTTCAGAGAGAGTTACGTCGGTAACCACATAAGGTCCTTCGAAAATTTGGCTCCAATTTTCCCATTTTTGCTACTCTGCTAGCTTCATTATTTCTCAGCACTCAATCACCAGGTTTAAAAGTGTTCACTTTGACTCTAGCATTGTAGTACCTGGCCATTTCATCTTTGTACTGAGCTTCTCTGATGCTAGCCTGCTCTCTTTTTTCTTCCAATGCATCTAGATTAGTATTTAGCTCATCTAGATTGTCTTGCTCCATGTATGCTATGACTCGTAGGCTGGGTACTCCAATCTCAGCTGGGATCACAGCCTCTAAGCCATATATGGTGTTTCTTGAGTTGCAGTTCTTGGGGTTGTTCTGTAAGACCATAGCACAGGAGGCAATTCTTCTGGCCAGTTACCTTTAGCTCTATCAAGACGTGTTTTGATTCCCTTTAGCAAAGTTCGATTTGTAACTTCTACTTGGCCATTTGCCTTTGGATGAGCTACTGATGTGAACCTTTGCTCAATTTTCAGCTCTGCACACCAGGATCGAAAAGGATTGTTGGCGAACTGTTTGCTATTGTCTGAGATGATTATGTGAGGTATACCAAAGCGACAAACAATGCTCTTCCATACGAACTTAAGTACATTATTTTCGGAGATGATTGCTAGCGGTTCAGCTTCGACCCATTTGGTAAAGTAGTCTATTGCCACTACTAAAAACTTCACTTTACCCCCAGCTTTTGGCATAGGCCCAACTATATCAATACCCCATTGTGCGAAAGGCCAAGCTCCTTGGATCGGGATCATTTCACCTTGAGGCAGCCTAGGCATAGAGGCATGCCTGGCATTTTTCACAACGTAGTACCAATTCATGTGCATCACCAAACAAAGTTGGCCAATAATAGCCGTCTCTCAAAACATTCTTTGCCAAAGTTCTAGCTCCAACATGTGATCCACACGATCCCAGGTGTATTTCTTCTAGAATGTACATAGCTTGTTCAGGTCCCACACACCTCAGCAAGGGAGTCAAATAACCTTTTTTAAAGAGGATGCCGTTGTGCAAAGTGTACCGAGGAGCTTTGACTCGGATTCTTCGAGCTTCTTTTTTGTCCTCAAGAAGAGCTCCGGTACTCAAGAATGTTACTATGGATATTGTCCAATCATCAACCTCTTCTTCAATGGTCTGAATTCGGACATGTTCAGTGCTCCTTGTTAGCAAGACTTCCACTAAAACTTCCATAGCAAGGTGGGAAAAAATAGATGATGCTAGTTTACTTAAAGCATCTGCTTTCTTGTTTTGTGACCTGGGAATATGTATTACTTGGAATGATTCAAATGTTCGGGCAAGTTCTTTGACCTTTTGTAAATACTTGATTAGTTGTGGTTCCCGAGCTTCATAGTCTCCATTCACTTGCTTTACAACGACTTATGAATCGCTGTAAACTACTAGCTGTTGAACTTTTAGCTCTCTGGCTATTCGTAAACCTGCTATCAATGCTTCATACACGGCTTCATTATTTGTGGCTGGGAAGTCAAAACGGAGTGCATATGTCAGCTCCACACTTGGTTTAGCAGGGCTTTTTAGCATGAGACCAGCACCAGAACCTTCCTCATTTGAAGCTCCATCAACACAACTCCCAAAAATCCTTTGCAAGGAATCCTTGACTAGGGTTGTTTTTCAAAAGACTATTTATTTCAAAGGGCATTTCAACAATGAAGTCCGCCAAGGCTTGAGCTTTGATAGCTTGCGAGGCTTGAAATCAATGTCGTGTTCCCCCAACTCAATTGTCCATTTCATCATTCTTCCGGAAACTTCTGGTTTTAACAACACTTGTCTAAGAGGGAGATCTTTAAGCACTTGGATTGGATGTGCCTGGAAATATGGCCGAAGCTTACGGGCAGCATGTACCAAAGCCAAAATGACCTTTTCTAGATAGGAGTATCACTGTTTGGCACCTTGCAATGCTTTACTTATGAAATATACAGGACGTTGCACTTTTTCCTCTTCTCGCACTGCACTTATTGTGTTTTCACTTGCGGCTAAATAAAGATATAAAGTCCCCATAAATAGGTTTGGCTAAGGCTCGTAATTTTCCCAAATAAGTTTTGAGCTGATCAAAAGCTTGTTGATGGGATTCAGTCCATTCAAAGTTCTTTGCACCTTTGAGAACATCAAAGAAAGGTAAACTTCTTTCCGCACCTTTGGATAAAAATCGACTTAATGCTGGCAATGGCCCGTCATTTTTTGTACATCTTTTACACTTTTTGGTGAGGCCATATCAATTATAGCGTGCACTTTTTCAGGATTTGCTTCAATTCCTCTTTTCGACACTAGATATCCCAGAAACTTTTCTAAACCTACCCAAAAATGCATTTTTTAGGATTTAACCGAAGTTGTACTTTTCGGAGGGTAACTAAAGTTTCATGGAAGTTTTGTGGCATTTCATGTGCGATGAGGCTTTTTACCACCATGTCATCAACGTACACCTCCATATTTCGTCCCAACTGGCTTTTAAAGACTTGATTTACCATCCTCTGGTAAGTTGCGCCAACAATTCTTAGCCCAAACGGCAACCTTTGATATCCAAATACTCCTAATTCTGTGATGAATGCGGTCTTGTCAGCATCTTCTGGATCCATCTAGATCTGATGATAACCCTTGTATGCATCCAAAAAGATCAAAGCCTCATATCCAGCTATTGCTTCCACTTTCTGATCTATGATTGGCAAATGATAACAACCTTTGGGACAATATTTATTCAGATCTGTGTAATCAACAAACATTCGAGATCCTCCTCCAGGTTTTCCCACTACCACTTGATTAGACAACCAAGTCGGGTACTTTACGACTCTGACTATTGTAGCCTTCAATAAGTTTGATACCTCTGCATTCATAATTTGGTTGCATTCAAGGGCAAATTTGCATCTCCTCTGCTGGACTGGTTTAACCCTTGGATCTATGTTAAGTTTATGCACAATTAATTCTGGACATAATCCAGGCATGTCTTCTGTTCCCCATGCAAAAACTCCATTACATTCTTGGAGCAACTGGATCAATTCAGCTTTTACTTTGGGGGGGAGGGGGGCAACATTTTCCCAACCTTGATCTTTTGGTATGGATTTTCATTGTCTATCCCAATTTCTTCTACCTCATCAGAGATTCAAAATGATCAGAGGATTGAACTGCTTTGTCCAAAGGCTTTGTTGCAGTGATGCAATTAACCTCTTTGATTTTACTCATCCCTTGCTTGACAGCAATCATCATGCATTCTCGAGCTACCATTTGATTTCCTTTGACTGAAATATTCCCATTATCAGTTGAAAATTTCATCAACAAATGATAAGGTGACCATATCGCCTTCATCATATTCATCCAAGGTCTCCCCAAGATGACATTTAAGGGTGAGGGAGCATCGACAATGGCGAAGTTGCTCATCACAGTTTTGTCTAAAGGTGATTGCCCTACCGTAACAGCTAAGGTTAGGATACCCACCAGTACAATAACATGAATGGCAAAACCAACTAACGGAGTATGAGTTGGCTTGAGGGCTTCAAAATCAATCCCCAATTTACGGAAGCAATCTATGTACATTACTTCTGCTGCACTTCCAGGATCAACATAGATGCGGTGGACTTCCTTGTTAGCAGTAATTCCTTGAATCACTAAGGCATCTGATTGAGGAAACACATGAGGGACATCATCATGCTCTGTGAATGTAATGCTTTCCGATGGCTTGAAACGCCTCATATTTTGTTCCTGTGGAGGAACATGTCGAGCTTCTGCTTTCAAGGCTGCCTTTGATTGAGATCCTTGAAAATCACTGAATATTGCATGAATGACTCCTGTCACTGTACGGTTTTCTTGTTGCCTGGTTCCAACATTGGGAGATGTTTGGTCAGTTCGCCTCTGGTCTTTCCAATTTGGTAAAGGTCGCCAGTTAGAGGTCCTGTTCCCTTTGTAAAAGCCTTTGTCATTCCCAACTCCGCCAATTTGAATGTATTGCCTTAACTTTCCTTGTTGAATTGAACTTTCAATTTCTCTTTTCAGATCATTGCAATTTTTAGTTTCATGACCATGATCGTTATGATATGCGCACCATAGATGTTTGGGCTGTTGATGTGCAGGGCTGATCA